TAAATTAAACTTACAAATTAGGTTCGGGAAGTAATAAAGTTCGGCCAGCCCTGCCGTGCTACACGACTCTGGCGCGACAGCAATCAAACGTCGTATCTTTGCCGCGCCAAACAAAATTCATAAATTATGCTAATATATTTTTGATGGGACGGCGCTCTTACGGGAAGTTATGAGAATGAACTGTTACTTCAGTTAATCCTGAATTTCGTACGACTCTCACCCGATTTCTTACGTTGAACCTAATTGTAATTAAGTTCGACACGGCAGAAGCACCACGACTGAACAGGGCCTTGCAAGCCCCGCAATGCTGCACGACTCTCTGCCGCGCCAAACAAAATTCATAAATTATACTAATGTATTTTTTGTGGGATGGCGCTCTCACGGGAAGTTGTTAGAATGAATTGTTAGTTCACTTCATCCTGAATTTCGTACGACTCTAACCCGATCTCTTAGTTCGAACCAAATTTCCAAATAATTTCAACACGGCAGAAGCACGACGATTGAACTAGCCCATATTTGTGTTTACAAGGAATTAAAAGCGTTAACAAATTGTAGACAAGTGTCACCTCTTCTGAACAATGGTAATTTTATAAGTCTTTTGTGTTCGGTTGAGTGTTTGTATCTCAGATTGGTATACATAAACAATACATTGTAAAAATAATCGTGATGACTTGAGCCGTGGGGCCTTTGTACATAAATTAGCCCAAAATGGGCCTCTGAATTTACATCTGAATTTTGTGAAGGATTATAGAGAACACTGGATGTTTTCAATCCTTACCTCTTTGCTCTGAGCTATTGAAAACTCCTTATTAACCATCCAATAAAAGTTCTCAAGACAACTTAGAACTGTTTAACGTAATCGAAAAATTGATTAAAAACGAGAAGTCATCCAAAAGTGAACTTCGAGGAAAAAACAGTAGAGGTCGTCTTTGAGAAAAAGTATGGTGTATTACCAACGTGAACATATCATATTTCTGAGCATATACTAGAAAAATTAAACTGATTGCATCAAATACATTGTTCTGTTCTGTACGTGAACTAATTTTCTTTTCACTCTAGATCCTTTTAAATAAGCCAGTAAGAAATGGTTCAATACAAGTAGACTTAAAATCCTTCATATTGAGTTTTAGTGAGTAATAACATGCAATTCTTTCGTTGCAAATATTTGGTGTTAGAGGGGTAGTAAAAAAAAACCCCTTACACTTCTGATGAGGGTGGGGAAGATTTCCAGACCCCTGGGGCCTACCCTGGATCCGTCGGTGGATTCGCCTTAATCTCTGATGTCCAGAAAAACAATGCATGGTTCACAGCTGGGCTAAGCCATCTTCATTCGGCGTCTGAACAAGAAAGTACATTGCTTTGGCCTTAAAACTCAATTAAAGGCAATTCATTATTCATCACCGGGACGGGATGGGCGATGATTTTGGGGGACATCAAATGGTTTCAGGGAACGGGAACAGAGGGGATCAGTCGTCAGAGAATATAGAAAATTGACCGCCACGTAACTGCCAAAAAGGGGGGGAGGGGCGGGAGAGATCATAGGAATATCGCAGAGCCCTAGGGGGGTATCAGCTAAATTTTATAGATACACAACGAAAATCCTCTGTCCTATCCCCCCAAAAGATAATAATAAGGGGTTCCTTAGTATCAATCACTGAAATAAAAGTGCAGAAGTCCGTTTCTAACTAGAGTAGATGAAATAAAAAATTATTTAGAGGTCAGGCAGACATCATTTTGAACTTGCCATCGCGATAAGTTCAAGAACTGTCCCTTTAAAAAGGTGTTTTTTTGGTTTTACTAAACCCATTCATTGTCATACATAACGTATTGTCCCCGTAATCGTCTATAACATATCCAGGCGCTGTTATTGAAAACTGAAAAAACACAATTTTATGGTTTTCGATAATTTATAGGTAAGCAAGGCATCCCCAAAACACAACTTTGCGATGTCATGTTGCTAAGCATAGCAATATTCCGAAGAAATGTTTTTTTTTTCTCGAAGTGAGACACTGGTTTTACCATTAAAAGAGAGATAATTATTCAAGGGCAATGACGCGGAAAATCCACCCCCGATTTAGTTAAAACGTGGGAACAAACAAGTCTACAGTCGTCTTTGATTTGTCTTGCTAAAGGATAAACATCTCGCTTGTATTTGACTACCTTTGCCTGTATTGAGGTAAGATGATTTCGTCATTAGTAATAGAATCCGCTTAAACACGCCTCATCAAATTCCAAGGGCAAGCCACCAGGCACTGATTATTCGTAATTTTGCCATAAAGTTACCAAAACTTTTATACTCAGTTTTTATTGCTCATTTGAGGAAAACTTGTACCACAAACGGGCCAAAAATTGTAACTGTAATGCAAAAATTACACATCGTTACAAGTTTTCTAGATAGAAGGACAAATCACTTTACAGGATAAATGAATAAAGGGTAAGTTTCTAAAGAGTATAACAGAGTAATTAAGTATTATCAACTAAGTTGATAACGTAAACTGGCCACAGGTAAGAGTTTTAACGCAGACGTGTCGAGCGTTAGCCCTTTGTCATCGCTAACTTATCTTACGTTACGAGACAGCTACTTTAAGGATGTTACTCCGGTCTTCACAAATCTCTTTGGTCATGCAAATAGTGCAGCAAAAGGAGTTTCCTAGTTAACGTAAAATAAATTTTCCATTTTCGGGCTTTCATAGCCATTGGAATTCATGGCAAAGCATCGCAGTGATTTCTGCTGAAGAGCAGTCGTCCACTACAGGCTGGCAATGGTAATCATGAAAAAAAATTATTCCAACTAAAACACATAACTCATAGATAACCTGAGGCAAGTGATTTGTTTATTTATATATGTCGAAGCTTGTTCGATGCTCCACTTGACTTGAGCAGAGACTCAAGGTAGCAGAGGCCATTGTGCAATCATTTTTTAAGGCGTCTCTGCTCTCCAACCCAAGACTGAATACCCAGCAAAGCTTTTTTTTCGCATTGTTTCATTCGAACCAATCATTATCAGACGCGTCAAACAATACCGAGCTAAGTAAATTGCAATTATTCTGTAAACGAAACGTCATGAGAATTTGTTTGTCCTTCTAATACTTACTTTACAAATTTCCCAGTCATAATTTACATATTGATTAGCTTATTCGGGGAAGGATCCGTGATCTGGAGGACATAGCCTTACCTGTTTCCTCGATTGATGGTAACAAAGCGTTTCTTCTTGCATTTTTTAAAGTTTACCATCTGAAAAGGGGAATAACGTTGTAGGATAACCTACGGAAGGTAGATCTCAAGACTTTTTTGGCGAGAAAATGTTATTTTTCTCCCTATGGTAGGTCTTCGATCACAGTCCACTAACTGAATGGATGTGTCAGACTCGACCATTTGCGCTCGCGTTCGCTATTAGGTGCAGACCAGGAGAAGCAGTACGATATAGAGATAATTTCTGAGAGCTAATAAACAAGGAGAAACAAACTGAAACTCGCGAGGCTTTACCTTTTAGTCTTAAGTAAGTTTTTTTCCGGATATTTTTTTTTCTTAATGATCCAGGGATCAAGATGAACCCGCGACTTGTATTGATGCTGTTGGCCCTGGTTGCTATGACCACTTCAATGACGATCAGGAACAGAAATGATCATGAAAAGAACGACGATGAAGGAAGAAAGCCGGTGATCAGTGAAGGGACTGCGCACTCACACGAACAGGAAGACGCTGAAGAGAACGATGATGAAGAGGGAAAGATGATCAGTGCAATCACACAGGAAGGCACTGAAGAGATCGATGATGAAGGGGGAGAGGTGAACAGTGAAAGGACTGCGAACTCACAGGAACAGGAAGACGCTGAAGAGAACGATGATGAAGAGGGAATGGTGATCAGTGAAGGGACTGAGAACACACTGGAAGACACTGAAGAGAACGATGATGAAGAGGGAATGGTGATCAGTGAAGGGACTGCGAACTCACACGAACAGGAAGACGCTGAAGAGAACGACGATGAAGAGGGAAAGATGATCGGTGCAATCACACAGGAAGGCACTGAAGAGATCGATTATGAAGGGGTAGAGGCAATCACTGAATAAAGGGGGTAAGTTTCAAAAGAAACTGTGGTGCTACGTCGGTGGGAAAGTATAACAGGATTATTAACTGTTAACAACTAAGTTGATAACGTAAATTTGCCAACATAAAGAAATTAAAGGCTGACGTTTCGAGCGTTAACTTTTCGCCAGAGCGATTGACAAAGGGCTAACGCTCGAAACGTCAGCCTTTAAACTCTTTACGGTGGCCAATTTACGTTATCAATTCAGTTGATAACACTTAATAACCCTGATCACTGAATAGACCGATGATGATGGGATAAACCGATGGGGTCAGCAACTGTTTTCCTTTATATTCAAGGATGTGTCAAGCGTAGGGAAAGAAAGAAAAGCAACATTTATCTTTTCCAGATCGCTGACAATACAATTCATTTTTTCGACTTCAGCAACCACCTGTTACCCTCAGCCAACCAGCTTCCCCACGGCAGCGGAAAGTTTCGCTTACAGCCACCATTTTCCAAAAAATTTAAAATATACTATATTTTGATAGATTGTTCGATTGACATCATCTACTGTTTCAGGTCCAACAACATTCTAAGTAGCTACCCAGGTGACTAGGTGTTCTCGAGTTCAAAATTCTTGTTAGATCATGCTACGGATTCTTAAAAGTTATTCCTTTAAGGAACATCTGCCTTTTGGGGTTAAGTAATATCTTGAATTAATTCTCAGGTTTTCTGCAATACCCAAGGTCTCGGTAAGCGTCATCATCACTACACTTAATTCCCTCGACCATAATTATTGCTTATATTACAAAACCTTCATCCAATAGGTTCGAATAACGTTTTTTTTTCATATGTATTTTCCTTTTTTTTCAGCAACTTCCATGATAGATGCGTGTTAAAAACCAAGACAGTGATCACAAAACGAGACCGGAATTCGAATAATTCATAACTTCACCAGTTTGCTGTCACCAGAAATAATTTCCACCGGCACCGCTTGCGAATTAAAGGTCAATAAATCATTTCCGTGATCTCTTTTTATATATGGACGGAGA